CAACGATAATAATGATTTTATCTGAAAAGGCCAAAATTAAAAGTACTATGAAAAAACAGTACAAACAAAATTAAAGGTACTTAACCATGCGTGGTTTCCCAAATCCAAATTTATTGGCTTTATTATTAGGTTTTTGATTTAAGATAGCATCTCATGAATTGAAACATATATATGTATGGCTCTATATTCAGGTTCCAGCTAACCTAATTAATCTCACAATGTATGTAATATGCTCCCATTAGTCTCTGTTACTTGTCATTCAGGTTGACACGATAATAGAGAAAATACATTTAACACATTACCAAATACATAATATTGTGTTAGGACTTGAAATTTTCACTTTACTAAAACTGTTTGACTGCTGAAAAAAGGAAAAACTAAAATGGTTAATTAAGTGAAAAAGAATGACTTTAGGAACCAATAAGATTGAGTTTCATGAATCAGTACCGCTAAGCATAAAACTTAGATATGGAGTCAAGAATGGGACTTTGGGAGTTCTAGTTCAAGGCCTTCAATACAAAGCAACGAACTTCCAATGCAAGAAGGAAAAAAAAAAATCTTTAGGGACTTGATTGTGAAAAGAGAATAAATTTAGAGACTAACTTTCAAGTTTTCCAAAGATTAAATTTTTTTTTTTACTTTACATGAAGTTGGAATAGCGAGCGTATACTCTACCTTGTGTTGGACGGGGAGGTGAAGACGGTGGCCGTGATGGCCGAGATAAACCATCCTCAGCCTCATATTTCAGTACACAGTTGGGTTGTAAAATTCTACATCCTATCCTCGCATAGCAGTATTGCTGAATCTTTCCACCGGCCGTCTCCAGACAATTTCTGCATTCTTGCTGGGACAGATCAGGGCTGCATTGCACAGACGCGTCGATAGTAATAAGGTCGGTCGGATCCGTCGCCGCATACCTGCCTCCGGCGGCTGCACGATTGGTCAAATCTTCCAGCAAAGAATTCAATGTCACATTGAATTGATTCACGTCGGACACAAATTGATAAGATGGAACAAAATAGTCAGGCAGAGTTTCCTCGGGGCCGAAAATATCCCGACTTGAGGAGCGCGCCATACAGAGATGCGACCATCCAACCGCCTCTGTGTTATTATTACAGTTCTCCTGGATTTGGTGTTGCTCGGACAACTTATGCAAGCACCCTGGTTTACGTCTGCTATGCAGAGTCCAACTGC